GTCAAAGCACTTTCCTCACTGGATGTTGCAAGTTCTCTGGTTCGATTTGTGCGGTTCCATTTCCGGTTCGCAAAAAGTTTGAACAGAAAGGTTTTCCCATAAGGATATTATAGAGACTTCTAGATGATTTCTACTTATGAGACCGTTGAACACTTTGCCATCCTCACTTGTGCTCTCCTTTGGTTGACACAACTGCTATCTTCTATATGTATCATGCTATCTCGCCTTGGGGAGTGGTTTCTTGGTACAGGTCTGAATTGCTCCGTAATTTAAAACATTCACTCGAGTCCGCCACCAAGTACAAGTAAGAAAGGAATTTATCCAAAACTGAAACTACCCTGCGCCGAAACTGATTTTATCTTCAATTAATTTATGCGATGGTTGGAAAAATGTCCAAGTGAAGGCTAGAATTTTATCATGTGGGGATTAATTTCGGATCATGTCGCTAGTAGTCAGCATTGCAAATGCCTCTAGGCTTTTAGTTGAAACATATTTAAAAATAATGTTGGGTGTCCGCAGGTTTTAATGCGCACTGTAGACATGGAATTTATTCTACGGAAACCAAAGGGGCTGTCGCAAAATAGCACAAATAATCGTTCACCAGAGCCCTTTAATGAACACCCGAGAAGATTTCCTAGTATTTTTCCAGTAACTGTATTACAACATGCCCCTGGTTAGCGGCGATAAATTTATTTCCAGCAACTTCTTATACTTGCCAAACGCAAAATTCAGTTAAGGGATGAATGCATATCTTCTTTCACTGGACTTGTTGGCTCCTCAGACACAAAATCTTTAATTGGCGGATGTGGAAGCTACTTATAAGCAAACTGGTGCAACGCTTACCCACTTGGGAAAAGGAGTAAATTGTGAAATCTGCGCGACTCCAGTATGAATTCAATCACTAATATAGTTCGTAAACCAAGTAATGCACTTCATCCGTTGTCGAAACAAAGTGTTGACACAATTCCTTTCAAATATTTGACGCAATTTTAGGTCATTTCTCCCCAAACTCTGTATACTTGGTCACTTGCTAATCTATATCTCTGAATTTCGGCGTTATTCAGAGCACGATCCAACGAAAAAAGTAGCCAGTTCGAGATATCCAACAAGTCTAGTAATTGAGCAGCCAGTTGATATGCCTTGTAATGTATGTTCTGGGATGTGAGGGCCATAATTTATGGTCGATGATTAACCTTCTTCCCTCGTGAGAAGGAGCGAGAGGCGTTTTTTCTATCATCATATGGCTACACCAATGGAAAATGTGCAATTCCCTTGTGGCTGAGGCAAACGACTATTTACCGGCGTGTTCCCAGGTGTTACACGTTCAGGCATTTGCGAGAACGAAAGTCCAGTTAACTGATCAAAATGGGAACGTCTTTTTCAAATTTTTCATAGGAAAAGTGTAATAGCAAGCAATCGGACCCCAGTAAGCCACTGAATTATTGGATTACTGAAGGCTTGGTGAATTGCCTACGGGTTTCACTTACTTAAGATCGGATGACTCCCATTTTTTTCAAAGATAAGGTGTGGTCTGACTAAACAGTAAAGAAATTTTACCGTTAGATAAGGGTCGATTGTGATTTCTTGCAATCACTAGCCAGCAAACGTCAAACTTCAGACTGAGACGTAGACAACCTGCGAAATGAATTTGGGTTGAACTTGCTTAATGTCAAATACTCAAGAACTCAAACACACGCTCGAGCCCCATCGTTTACAAGGGTTCTGCCGCTGTCTAAAAAGTTACCGATTGTTCGGTATTCCAACTGAAATATCTCTGTCTGGCGGTTACCGCCGACCAAATCCAGCTGGAAACAATCAATCTAACTGTGGTGAAACTGCAACGGAAATTGACTAAAGGGTCTGTGATGAACTCAACTGGTAACAGAAGACAAAGTTAAAACAATAAGAGTAGAATTAAACAAAGTTATAGTTAAGTCAGTTTGCCTCTGTAAGCAACTGATTTGTCCCTTTGGTAAGAGCTCAGTGAAGTGGTCAATGAAAGTTACCGAAAATAAAGTTAGAAACTATAAAACGAGAAGTTGATCCTGAAATGGCATTATCTCAGATTACAAGAACTCTACAATAATTATTCGCATTTATTCCGGCACAGATCAGCTTAAACCCCCAAC